CAGGTCAACCAGCTAAAACCTGGGTTAATGGAGACGTAACGGTTAAGCCGCACGAAACAACTTTTGAGGAGAAGCCTATTGTCTTTGTCCGGGGTTCCATGGCCTCATTCTAAATGTCAACCACGGGTGCAATTGTATCTCGCGAGGCGTTTGATGTATACTATCTACTATAATGTATATGTTAAATATGCTATATAGTTAATGTATAGTAGATTTAAGAAGGATATATTCCGTAGTTATCTCCTTTTTAAAATATGCCTGACAGGGTTCTGAAATGGTGGGTCTAGGCTTCCAATTTCGGAAGGCTCTACATCGACACGCTGTGCTTTCCGAACGATAAGACAGTGGGACCAAAATTTTGGGCAACCACCACCACCACGCTGTTTTGCAAAATTTTCTTAAACTTCTCCATCGATCTTAAAGCGCGAAAATGTAGCTGCAACCGTAAAAAGTAATCATTAAGATGGCTGTATCGTAAGCTATATACATATATATGATAGATATACGCGCATCTACTTGCGCGTATGTGCAAGGCAGACGAAGAAGAGTTGTTTAAAGCAGAAGTTTGCCAAAAAAAATTGGCTTAAGTCTGGGCATTTCTTGGCATTTCCTTGGCACTTTTTTACCAAACTTAGGTGGGTTTAAATGGTATGCGTGCGCAAGCGTAAGCAGATGCGAGTATATCTATCATATATTTGTATATAGCTTACGATACAGCCATCTTAATGATTGCTTTTTTACGGTTGCAGCTACATTTTCGCGCTTTAAAATCGATGGAGAAGTTTAAGAAAATTTTGCAAAACAGCGTGGTGGTGGTGGTTGCCCAAAATTTTGGTCCCACTGTCTTATCGTTCGGAAAGCACAGCGGATACTAAGAGTGTAATAGAATTACCAACACTCAAGATTGGGACCAATGCAGCATAGCCTGCTCACTTAGTGGCAGCTAGCTAATATCATAGGAAATACACCCCGCGCGCGCACACACACACACACCCACACACACATCACCGTCTAGTTCAGTAGATGTAGAGTAGAACCAAGGCTTAAAACCGTACAGCCTTTAAGCAGGGTCAATTGGACAGCGTAAAGTAATAACAAAGACATCAGCAACAAGCCTGTGGAAAAAGTTTTATGACAGCTCATAATAAATACAAAATTTACTACAGAAATTTTCAACAATTCAAGCTCGCCTAGCTCAGCTGGTTAGAGCGTGGTACTAATATTCTGTAAAGAATCTATGGTATGCCAAGGTCACAGGTTCGATCCCTGTGGTGAGCAGTTTTTTTGCTTCTTTTCCTTCTCCTCTCATTTAATAATTTTGAAGGGCAACTTGTGCATTCTTTTTAGTGCTAAAGAAAGGGCACGTACATATCTGATCATAGAATAAATTTAAATTATTGGGAACCCACTTAAAGGTATGGCGACAAACGCAAGGACTAGTTCGCAGGGGGGCCAGAAAATGTAAGCGAGGAAATGCGTATTGTTTTATTCTTCCTAACAAGGAGTCTCGAGCTGCCCGGAAACTAGATAATACTAAAGTAAAACGTGAGGCACACCACCACTTTGCCCTAAATACACATGTGGAGTTCTCTCAGCTTCTTTCTAGCTTTGTGTTGCTATCACTAATTAGGGGGTATCTGTCAGCCCTGGTACTTGTAAGAGACTGCCAAATACAAAATGGAGCTAAATACTGACGAAGAGCGCTCAGTGCGGCAGGCTGGGCACACAAACACCCATAGATAGTGACTAGGTACCCAGTTGACTAATATTGTTATGGCTTATGGTGGAGAAATGGAGAGGTACAACCTCGGCATGCAGCCAAAGGAAATATTAGGAGCAGACATATACGCAAGTCGGTCCGAGATATCTATCGAGTGAAGTATTATGTCGCTTCATCATGGCCGCCCTCTTGCCGGGGTCAAGCAGCAGATAGTTGTTCTGTGCGTCACGAGAACCACGAGGTAGTAGACGCGCTCGTGGATGGAGCGTGGCAAATCGAGAAAAATTAGCCCCATAAATAGGAATCTTAATAAATGATATACTTATTCGTCAAGAAACCTAGTGAGTAAGTAAAGAGTTTGGGCAGCAATAGAAACTTTTATTTGCACAGGCAGAAACGAAGAGGGGTGTCGGAGGACCCGCCACCAACCAGCCCCTGGTAGCCGCCCAACTGGCTAATTGCTCAAACTGCCACAGTCTGCTGGAATCAGTGCCTTCCATTATCCGAGCCAAGTACCTGAGGTAGCTAAAAGGTTGTTCAACCATCCTGTCACACTTCGTCGAATAACCCCGCATCTGCGCCCTAGCCGGTCTACTACTGGAAAGCAGCCAGCTTTTTAGCGTACTTGAGTTCGCCAACATCTTTCGGCGAGAAAACGCTGACCCTGCAGTCCCGAATGTCGGGGTTCGCGAGGATCGTTTGGTACACGCCGCTAAACTCGGACGCGCTCATCCTATTCTCTTTACCAAGTTCTTCGCAAATCGAATCGTAGTCTACCCGGTAGCACAGGTAGAGCTCGTTGAATCGAACGCTAATCTTTTCGTGGCAGATGACTGCCGCCATCGAGAACAAGGCCCCCTGAGCTATGGACGTAACACCAGCATATCCATTGTCACCGCCGCCACCTGTGCAAAAGGTCCATGTCGACTTGGGGCTCCCTTGTTCCAACAGATATGGCATTGTAGCACGATAGGCATCTACATATTGTTAGAGCTCGTAATCCACGTGGCGAGTAGATTGGAACCTTGCAGTAGTCCGCAAAAAAGTTGACGGCAAAAATATGATGGAATTCGTCCATGTCGACGTTATGCAGGGCGTCTGGGTGGTGAAGTGTGCCAACTTTTAGGTATTAGATATGTTAAGGTCCCTAAAAGGCTAGGACTTTCGGAAGTTACCGGCTGCGAATACGTGTTGGAACGCGGGCAGCTTTCCATCCCTCACTTGTTGCACTACCGTTTTAACGCCATCTTCCTTGAGGATGTCGGCTTGCGCGAAAGTAATGTTGCTTGTTGTTCCGCCGTAAGCTTCAACATGCTGTAAGACTCTATCTTCTGCAGCCTTGTTCCGAACGACCGCAAGCACGTGTTGGTTGCTGCGCAAGGCGGCGATGATGGCCGAGACGCCAATGTTGCCTGAGGCTCCGACCACCAATACTGTTTCCATGGCTTAAGACAAGAGATGAAATGTGAAGTTCGGCTGATGTTGCAAGCTGAAAACCAGATAGGATTGGTAGTGTCAGGATGTGCCTCTTTTATAGGCAGAATGTAACCTGAACTACTCGTGCCTTCCTGGCTTCACCACTCGAGATGGTGCCATGTAAAGCTGTAGCGTCTGCACTATGAAGTCTGGTTTCCAGCTTGCCTCTTCGTGATGCATATTCTGGGCAAAACAGGCCAAGATAGATTTGTAATCTGTCGGACATAGCTTTTGTCCTTCGGCCGAGGTCAGAAAGGGCGTTCCAGGTCGGAGCACTCGCGGTCCGTCTGCTCGTCTGCATAGCATAGCTGATGTGGGGGCCTTTTCGTCGGTCGGCGCCGGGGCAGAGTTCCACTGAAGTGGGACCGGGAGATCGGAGCGCAACGCTAACCGAATATAGTTTAGGCGCCAAGGGTTATGTCAATACCCGTTCGACGGAGCTCACGGGGTTGCTCGCTCTTCCGCGACAAAGTACTTCCACCACCTTATCTCTTCCGAGACTGTACGGACCGAGACGATCTTAACAAGACCGATGAACTCATAGGGGCTCCGTTCTCGTATCCTCGAACAAGTTAGGCGAAGCTGCAGACCAAGCACTTGGAGCTGTCCGCATACTCCTAGGCCAGGCTCTCTTTCCTCGGGGAGTCTGGTAAACTAACATGGTCTACCAAGGCCCGTCTCGGGGCTGCTATTCGTGCAAGAGGCGGCGGAAGAAAGTGTGTCTCATCCCAGCTTTCCTGTTCCGCTATTTTCAGTAGTAGAATCTGCCTCGCTTTCGTACCTTTCTCTCTGCTATTCTCGCTCATTCTCTTCCCTTATCTCCCTCGCCTGAACGCTTGGCACATGGCATCTTGCTGACAAATTTAATCATCACCTCTAGTGTGATGAAACTCGCCCGGTATGCTCTATTTCTTTGGCTTTCGTCTCTGCCTCTGTTGGACGCCAGGGAGACGCCCACCGCCTGTTCGGCAATGGTGGTATTGGGAGCGTCTAGGCCGACTTTAGCTAAACCCGATTAGTCATGTCTGAGATGTATTCGAGCTAATCGCACATGTTGCGGATACGAACATGCGGGAGTCCACTGGCTCTATCACTACCCAGCAAACAGCATCGGAGAACTCCCGCCACCCATATCTGCAGCACGGAAATGCACGCTGCCGGCGCGGAAACCCATCCCTGGAACCGACATCATCCCTGTGGATGCCCTGCCTCCGGAGACAACTCGTGCGCAGAGCGATCTGCTATCGCTTTGGTCCTTCTTTTACGACTACTGCGTTATCCCGGCCAACCATGACCTTTCCCGAGGGTTCCTCTCCAACCTCGAGCCTCTAACCAACCGCCTCGGCTATGACTCTGACCTAGTGAGAGCCTGCCAGGCGATAGCATTGGGACACCATGGAAAGATATTGTCTCGGCCACTTTTCACTGAACGAGCTGAGCAGAAATATGAAGCACTTCTCGGATCTTTCGCCAGCGCTATTGGAAACATCGCCACTGGGAGCGCAGATGAGAAAAGAAGAGTAGCCATGCTGCTGGGGATTTATCAGGTATGCTTCTTTTGGAGCTGGACCACACGTATTGTACAACAGTATTGCTCGATAGCTAACCAAGAGTAGATAACGATGGCTAGTGAAGCAGATCACGGCGACCATGTCATACATGCGAAAGGATTTGCGGCGCTTATGCGGCTCGGGAACTCGTCTCTGCAGCCCTTGAGCTTGATGCAGTATGAACGCTCACCAGGCCTTGGAAGGCGAATCAGAAAGGTTCGTGTACTCGGGAAACCGGTCCTGGGCACAGCTTGGTAAGAAATCGCTCACAATTTAGACAGGGTGCTAGCATATTTTCCGTCGCTGCCCTGAGCGTTGGAGATGAATGCTTAGATGACCTGCTTCTCGACCTTGAGCAGTTATGGGATGCCTCTGAGGACATATCTAGTGCGGACTACAGGAGCTCGTTGAAAAAGCAGTGTATGGCGCTAGATCGGCGCTTCGAGAGCTGGCAAGCATCCCGAGACAAGGATTTCCAACCGACCGTAGTGGCCAAGGTAAGCGACTGTCGAAATGCTGCGGACATAGCGGCAGGCTATTGGCCCGGGAGGGTTGAGGCCTATTTCGACCTCTACGTTGCCGGCGTCTGGAATATCTTCCGAACAGCTCGGCTCCTGCTTAATGCTCTGGTTGTTAAGCTTTCTGACGCCTCTGGGGACAGCAATAGCCGTGTGGATTGCATCCACACTGCAAACCGCTTAGCTGAAGACTTAGCCGCTTCCGTGCCATATCACTTAGCGGAAAATATGCACGATTTTGTCAACAAACTGGACGCAAGAAAAGAGATGGAAGACGCGGGGAAGGTGCTTGGAGGTTTACTACTCATGCACCCTCTATACATCGCTTCTCGGATGTCATTTCTCTCCGAAAAGATCCGAGAATATATGCGAGCGTGTCTGATGTGGATAGGGTCCAACATGGGTGTTGGACAAGCCACCGTATTGGCGAAGGTAGGGACCGTTTCGTACTGTTCCATGTTTAGGAATGTAAACTAACCTCCCTGCACTGCAGAATCCAAATATAGATAGAGAATACCTAGAGAGTGGGCTACTGATTATCTGGTCTGGCTTCCTCGGCTAGTCCCGTATCGCAATGCGCATGATTAGGACAGCCACGAAATTTACAGCTAGCAAAAAGGATTGCTATATGTATTAGTTGATGTTACGATATCAGATTAGGACTTATGAAACAGCTGAATATCTGCTTCGGAGATTTGCATGTGCTAATGATTCGTCATTTTCGACATAAAGTCGTACGTTGTCCAAGGCTTTAGGGGCCCATACATGGTGAGATTAGCACCGAAATTTCCCTTTGAGGACGCCGAATTTAGCATGTGCATGAACCACTGACAGTCACTAAGCAGTCGCGGTACCCTAACCTATTAAAGCCAATATATGCCGGTTATGGATGCTTATTTAACCCCATTAATCTCTCTTGGGTTAGCCTTGCGCGACCATGACTGCTTGTATATAGCGTGACAGCCTTTGGGTATTGAACGACGAAAGACGGGCGACGAGGGACAACAGTGGGGT